ATTTGAGTATCTCTATAAAGCTCAAATCATTCATCCAATTAAAGTGCAAAACATGTTTAATGCATAGATCAATAGAGTATAACAGAACACATTCTGTTTTAAGAAGTATTTCAGTGTGACTGTACTGTATGGGAAATGTATGCTTGACTGGGTGTTTGTTTGCATGAATAAATGCAGTGATGCAGCGTCTAGAGGATCAGCCCAGGTTGAGCCACTAACAACCCTCAGCATGTTGGATTGTTTGCTCCGGTGTCTGTTGGAACTTTTGCCAGCATAGATATTTATTCAGCATCTCAATAAGCGAGGCAGCAGAAGGAAGATGGTGTGTTACCTTTTAACTTGATAAAACAGAGCACGCAAATAGCAGAAGATCATATGATGGGAGTTAAACAGCTTTGAAGCAGCAGCCCGGTCAAGTTATTTCCTTTGCAGAAGTTGCTGGTGAAGATTCTCAGTCATCCAGGTCACAATCATTACAAAAAAGTAAAAAAAAATAAAATAAACTGGACTTGGTTTCCAAATTTGAAGATATTTCGCGAAATGTTTTCAAACTTGGAAACCTTTTCAGAAGTTGAAAGAAAACAACTTCTCATGTTGTCTTTGGTCCAGGATTCAATTCACATCAGGACATTTGTCTCTGATGTATAGAAGCTGCAGCTCACATACAAGTCATTTTCTTAGAATGCATTTATCTTTGTTGCTGGTGCACTTTGTTAACCACATTTTCCCTCCACTAAAGGACTAAGCTATTGCCTTAAAATAGACATCTAAGAGAATTTAAAAATAAAATTCTACTTAACTCATTGAATCAAATTCACATGTATTCACATTCCAGACAACCTGCTGCTGCCTTATTTATGCTGATTTCATTTATTTTCATGGTTCTCCTGTGATTGACTGCAGAAATCTAATCAAACAACAGATAATTACATTGTTGCACTGCAGCACAGCATTATTGTTTTTAAACGTTACATCCAACATAAAAAATGTTTGCATAAATGCGAGTACAGTCTAATATAATAATATTAAAAAAAATAATAATAGATAATTTTTTCCCCCCTGCATATGTGAGTGATACATATTTATCTGCGCCTCCCTGTGTTATCTACAATCTCCTCACGTAGGCTTTCACCTTAGATAAGACAGTCCACGCAGCGCCAACTTTGTCTGCCAAGGGCAAAACTTGAGTGGAGCTCTGCACAGATGCGTCACAGATACGGCTGTTTGCGGTGTGTCTGAGAGAGAGATAGACCTATTCTCGGGACACTTCTGCGTTTCACTGATGCAACGTGACAACAGCAGCCAATAAAAATTATCATAAATTTTAAAAATCCACAGCATGAGCATGCAATGATGCATGCAGTTAGGGATGGGTAGCTTACTCACCAGATCCCGCTGCTTCGTGTCTGTGGAGCCTCAGCCTCAGCAGCAGCAGCAGCAGCAGCTACCCGGTCCCACAGAGGATCATTAGATGCTGTTGCATCGGGCTCTGCTGCAGACTGCATGCTGTCAGAACCACTGCGGTCCACATTCATCCGCGCCGGTCAGGGTGCGTGCGTGTCACATCGCGTTTTTTGGGCTGTGCGGTGCAGGTGGAGGGCGAGGGGGCTTCTTGTCAAATGTAAACAGACTTGATGCGGGGAAACAGAGAAGCTCATCTGCAATATTTACAGTCCCAAAACTCCAACACTCTGCTGCTCTGATCGCTGCCTCATCTTCCTCCTCCTCCTCTCTGTCCTGTTGGGCATGCCCAGTTCCTGCCTTCTAATAAAGGCTGAAAATAAACAAAACAAGATTAAATTGTTTGCAGAGGCGTAGCCAGAAAATATTAACAAGGGTGGCCAGGAAATAACCAATGTAGGCACCTTAACCTCAGTGTTAGGTTTCTGTTTTCTGTCATGATTTCTTTTTGAGTATCCAGTTTTGCCTTTTCTCCTTGTTTCCTAGTTTTTATGGTTTAATTCTTAGTTTATTGTGTTCTTTTGTTTTTTTCTCAGTTACTGTTTTAATCATTCCTACCTGTGGTCTCCCTCAAGTGATTCAGACGAACCCCCCCTGTAACTGACATTTATGCACTATTTTTGCACGCCACGTAACACTTTACTTGGATTTATCACTTTAGTTGGATATTCACGTTATTTGGATTTAGTTTTTGCATATGCATAGATATACATAGTATAGATATACATATGCATATATACATATATATATATATATATATATATATATATATATATATATATATATATATATATATATATATATATATATATATATATATATATATACACATATATATATTGGATATGTGTATATATGTATATATATATATATCTATATATATATATCTATATATAGATATATATATAGATATACAGAAGAGCTATATGTGTATATATTTTCTCTTTTTATTCTTATTTTTTATCTTTACTATACTGCATAGTTGGATATGTGTGTGTATATATATATATATATATATATATATATATATATATATATATATATATATATATATATATATATATATATATATATATATATATATATAGATAGATAGATAGATAGATAGATAGATAGATAGATAGATAGATAGATAGATAGATAGATAGATAGATAGATAGATAGATAGATAGATAGATAGATAAAACTGTAACTGGAGCGTGTAACAAAAGTAATTTCCCTCTGGGATTATTAAAGTATTTCTTATTCTGATTCTACGTTCTGTTATATTTTCTTTTTAGTGTTCAGTTTTGCTTTACTCCTTGTTTTCTAGTGTTAGTGGTTTTTATTTTTATTTTGCTGTGTTCTCTGGTTTATTCTTAGTTACTGTTTCAGTCTTGGCTCTGTTATGTTTTTCTTTTGAGTGTTCAGTTTTGCTTCACTCCATCTTTTATTGTGTTTGTGGTTTCATTTTTATTTTTATTTTGTTCTTTCTGGTTATTTTCAGTTCTCAGGTTTGTATTTGTTGCCCTCTGCTGCCCTCTTGAGTTTTCCTTTTACTCTTGCTCCTTGTTTCTGCTCTGCTCACACCTGCTCCTAATCTGCTCGTTAACCCTCTCTTTGTTTCAGTCTCCTACAAATACTCTCTCTGTTCTGTTCTTCTTTGCTGGGTCCTCATCTAACTCTGTCATACTTCCTCCTACTTGTCTCTCTGAGCCTCCCTCCAAGTGTTTCGATTCCCCTGATGTCTCCTTGGTTTTTGGGTATGTTTAGAATTGTGTTTTTCTTATTTTTTATCTTTGGACTTTGGATTCCTGGTTTCCCTGTTTATTTGGACTTTGGTTTTTACTTTAGATTTTTGGACAACCTGCCTCTGTTTTCAGTTTTTTAATAATTCATCATTAAACCAACTTGAGAAATTCACCTCTGCCTTCCTGCCTCTGCTTTTGGGTCCTCACCCCTCAAACAAATCCTAACACTCAGGGTCAATCTACACTGTTCAAACAGAAAAATTAACAAGTAAAAAATCCATATTTTCTAAACAAAGACAAACTATACTTTCCTATAGCCTTTGCTAACAAATAGACACATATATTTAAAGGGGAACACCAATTTTTTTTTTTTTTTTTTTTTTTTTTTTTACATTGACCCCTTGAATTTACGTTATCACATCATGTTCTACTCACTCATATGAGTTTTGTGTCATTTGGAGCTGTTCTGAAGATATTCCGTTAGGCTATATCAAATAACATCTTCCTTTGGGCAACAAGTTGAAGGCACAAACTAAACTGTTCATAAATTATTCTTTAAGGTACGCCAGCATTTATAACATGTAGGCAAATCACTGTCCACCAGACAGTGTGTTAGCATTTAGTATCATTTAGTATGACAATACAAAATAGAATCTAAAAAAATGTCTTTAAATAGGTGTATTTCCACTTAATTTAAGCTGGTAATTGTGTTATGTCAAAGGATTGAGTACTTTTGCTTTAAAAAATAACATCATTTAGTATTGTGGACTTGAAATAAGTTGAATGACTTATTTTAAATGTAAATCATCTCTTTTTCTTCTAGTAAACTGTTTAACCTATCCAAATTGCCATTTAAATGCAATTTAAATATAAAAGGTCCCATATTAATCTACATTTGCAAATAAAACATATAAACAATGATTCTCCCAGAGAATATTTTTGCAGTTTTTGCAGGAAAATTCCTCTCAGATTAGGCAGATGGCCTTAAACAAAAACCTCCTCATCATTATTATCAAATCTGGACATTTTAAAAATTCATCTGGAAAATGTTGAAAGATTAAAGTGAATTTTAACAATTTGATAAAGAATGGCCAAACAGACACTCCGCTTCCATTCCTCACATTAAGCTCCACCTGTCAAACAAGAGTCTTCTGATCCTTAGGATAACTAGAATAACATCTTTAATGTCAAAATTTATGTTAAAATATCTTGACTTATTTGGTGGTAGCTTTGTCCTGTTGCTTATTAGATATCGTCAAGGATTTATTGATACCTCTTCCCTTAATGATACTCCTTATCAACCCAATATTTGATCAATACCCTATCATTTTCCTTTTTTATAATTAAAAGGGTAAGAAAACAAAAAATGAGCAATGCCATTTTTTCCATTTAACCATATTTTAAAGCTGTAATAGTTTTTTTTTTAGAAGTCAGATAACTATAGAAGTACTTGAAATGTTTTTCTGTCCCGATTTCGGTTTGAGACTCTGTTATGTAGGCCAGAAGAGAAAACCTGTATTGTTTTGATGAAGATCAATGAAGACCAAACTACAGTTCTAGTTTCTGGTCCAAAAAAGTAGGATTAGAAATCATCAGCTGGGGCTGCCACTAAATACATCTTATATAAATTAGTCCTTTGTACTTTTCATTGTTGTTTTTATAAATGCATTTATTGTCTGTTGCTGTACTCTTCCTTTTGCGATGTATTCTATCGTCCTTCTTTGTCTCCCTTTCAACACTTTAACTGCACCTCTCTCCTTTTCTGTTGTTTTCTATAAAATAACAAAACAAAACAGACTTTTTCATTCCCTTTAATCTGCTTTATTAAACGTCTGGACCCCAAAAGCTCAAATAACAAATTTAAACTGTTAAAAATAACTATTTTTTTTACACTGAAACCATCCAAGCTTGATAGGTTTAAGAAAACATAATAAAATACATAAATATGCAAATGTAGGCTGCATATGCAAACATAAAAGGTAAAAATAAAAAAGTTAACCTTAATATATTGCCAATTTAAAAAAAAGCAAGTATAATCAACGTGGTGACAAACATAACCGAAATTAAATGTTCCATATTATGCAAAATTCACATTATAAATTTTTGTAGCATGTGTCATGAAGCCTGTGTATGAGATTTACAAATGAAAAAAATCCCTTTAACCTGCATCATTGCCTTTCTCTATTCCTTAGCTAATGCGGCGTTCCCTTTATGATGTCATCAGGGTAAAATAGCTGTCATAAGTGGTCTATAGCAGTCCATTGGTCAAGGTACAGACTTCATTAATGTGTCATTGTACACTCCTAGCCTCTAACTTTAAGAGCTCTGACTAGTTGTCATGGTTGCGGATTGTGGGGACCCGGCCTTCGGGAGGACACGGCGTGGAAAGCCAAAGCAGCTCATCCAGATGGGGCCTAAATGAGGAAATGTTTGGTGAATATTCCTCCTCCGAGAGGAATATTCCTGCACAACAAAAAAAACATGCTTTATTTCTGGGGCCCTTAGTGCCAATACTGTTTATTTCTAAATGTCGCATAATATGGGATCTTTAAAACAGAAAAAAATTTGTACCATCTGTTTGAAAAGAATACATCTTATTTCACATCCAGTTATATATAGTAATATTCTTTTTTTTAATTCAAAGTTTCATACTTTATCTTAGTTCAATGCAGGAATTTGTAAGACAATGTAGATTCTTAAGCAATACTTGTAAAGAATTATCAATAGAGAGCAAAAGACATACAGTTAGAAATTACGCTTAGCCCACCGAAATAAAGGATCGGCCCTCCATTGGGGCAGGAGTTTGCCCTGCAATCAGAGGGTTGTCGGTTCGAGCGCCGGCTTTGCATGTCCTTGGGCAAGACACTTCACCTGCATTGCCTACTGATGGTCATCAGAGGGCCCAGTGGTGCCAGTGTCTGGCAGTCTCGCTTCTTTCAGTGAGAAGGCCAGGGCAGCTGTGGCCCAAATGTAAATGCTTGCCACCAATCGGGGTGTGTGAATGGGTGAACGACAGAATGTAGGGTGAATGACTGAATATAGTATAAGTGTCAAGTGTCCTGACTTGAAAAAGTGCTATATAAGTACAGGCCATTTACCATTCTACTGCTAAACACTCAGATGCTTGACAATCACTCTTTAGCAATAACACTATGAACACACATGTTTCTTGAGATCTCCATGTCGTGAAAATGCTTTATTGCAAACTCTACAGACATAAGGTTTCTCTCCTAAATGGAGTCTCATGTGACTTTTAAGATTATATTTTTTGTTAAACCTGATTTTACAGACATCACAGCCGAATGGCCGCTCCTCTGTGTGGAGTCTCATATGCTGCTTTAACTTTATTTCCCGGACGAAACATTTACCGCATTCACCACAGCTGAATGGTGCAGTGTGAACCTCCATGTGATTGTTGAGATAATTTTGTTTTGAAAACCCTTTACTGCAAACACCACAAACAAACTGTTTCTCTCCAGTGTGAACACACATGTGCCTCTTTAGATTACCCTGGCGTGAAAATTCTTTACGGCAGACCCTACAGGTGAATGGTTTCTCTCCCGTGTGAACACTCATGTGGCTCTTAAGATGAATTTGCTGTGAAAATCCTTTACTGCAAACACTGCAAACAAAAGGCCTGTCTGCAGTGTGGATTCTCATGTGCTTTTTAAGATTTCCATTCCTTTTAAATCTCGTTCCACAAACCTCACAAGAAAATGGGTTTTCTCCCGAATGGACCTCAAGGTGACTTCTAAGACTTGTCTTTGCATGAAACCTTCTACCACAATCATCACAGGCGAATGGTTTCTCTCCGGTGTGGAGTCTTATATGTGTCTGCAGACAACGTTTTTCTTTAAAGCCTTTACCACAAAAACCACAGCTATGTTCTCTTAGTCCAGTATGAATCATCATGTGTAGTTTTATATAAGTCTTATGTCTAAATCTTTTGCCACAAATATTGCAGCCAAATGGTTTCTCTCCTGTGTGGACACTTATTTGTGAGGCACGTTTGAGACACAGTTTTGATCGTTTAGCTCTTTTGTTTACCATCACTGTACTCTGTTGTGAAGAACCCATTAGTTCCACTTCTCTGCCTAACTTTGGTCCTTTCCAGTCTTCTCCTACAGGGTCTGTATTCCTTTCATCATCAGTTTTGATTTCATTAAGTTCCAACAACTGAGGTTTTTCTTCATCTTCGGTCTTCACAGTAAGCTCCTCTTTGCCCTTATGAATCCATAGTTTCGGCCTTTCATCCTTTATGCAGGGGGGTTCTGGGTCCTGCTGGTCAAAGCTGGGGTTCCAGTCGTGGGAAGCCTCTTCTTTGATCACAAACACCTGATGAACTACAAAAAATAAAAACACGAAAATTTCTGATGTGAGTTTTTTTTTTGCAGAAAAAGTGTACAACCAATGTCATGTGTACCCCTATGAAAAAAAGGTCACGTTTATATTCAGTTATATTATCAAACCAATATATGTAAGTTGTTTCAAATGTTAATGTTATCAGAAACTATTTTATCTTTTGTGATAACTATTCCCAAGTGCTATTCCCAGTGCTATATGACTAAAGCCGTATAGTGTAAATCTATACTAATGAGAATCAGGTTTATACAGGTTATTTATTTTTGTTATTCTATCTCACTGACATATATCTATCACTGATGGGCTCTTAGATCAGACTGCCAGCCCTCTTTTAGTTGCTCTGATCCAAACAGCTACTTACTAAGATCTTTGCTGTCTGGTTCATCCTCTGGTTCTGTGGATGTTGCAGACATGGGTGCCTCCAAACTGAGCTCTCCAGGGTCTTCTGCCTCAACCTTCAACATCTCAGACATATTCGCTCCTTATTTATAACCTTCACATGTTGTAGCAGGTCAAGGTTTTAGACATATCCTGAAAATAAAACCAGAACCAAATCAGCAAATGAGCAAATAAAGTGTGCTAACAGAAAATGGATGGTGTGGAGTGTGATACCTTAATCATAGGTCTCTGGTTTCCTTAGTTTAGAAATAGTGTCAACAGACGATGCTGTTAGCTCCATGGAGGCTACCAGTTTAGCCTCTTTGCTAATAAACACTCTGTACTGGATACTTCCGCTAAAAATAACCACAATGGCTTTAAACGAAGGTGTGGAACTGATATCTTAACTGAAACCGTCAAGGAGGGAGTCTGAGACATTATTTAAACCGTCTTTACGGCAACTTTTGAGACGTTTTTTTTATATATAAGGACCTAGCCAGACAAGCTAACATAGCTATTTCCGGATTTCTTCTTATTTTAACCAATGAACAGCAAGTAAAGTTAGAATTAGAAAACACACTTCCTCTTTAGACCGTTAGGACTTCAAAATAAGATTAAATGGATTTGAATGAATAAATATATATTTATTACTTGGTATTTGTTTTTGTTACACTTTGCATATAGTTTTGACTCACAAAAATGTAACTTCATGCCCACTGTGTGTTTTTTTAATCACACATAATCCCGGAAAACTGATTTGAATGATTGCATTACCTCCATATACGGAAGAGGATTAGGGCCACTATTCCAAAATAAAAAAAGTTAACTGATTTAAAAAAATATTTTTCAGTTTAATATGGGAAAAAGTGTTCCATATTCCACAATAAAAGGAAAAAATTATTACTTTAACCTCAAAACTCTGACTTTTTTTCTCAGAATTCTGACTTTATTTTGAGAATTCTGTCTTTAATCTCAGAATTCTGACTTTTTTCTCAGAATTCTGACTGAATTCTGATAGCTAACAAACATGTTAGCATCAAACCGTAGCCTTGTCTAGAGACTAAACTAGCTCTCTGGTTTTTAATCACCTTCTGCTCTTCCAATAATGAAATAGCATCACTGGGGACCCCTTGGGCACGTAAAAAGTCGTCTAATTCGTCGTTTTCCACCAATGTTTAACTGGTCCTCCCAAACAACCCACATCTTTGTCAGTGAAGCTGAGTGCTCCCACATCTCTTCCTTCATGATACCCTTTAAGATTATGATCTAAAAATGATATTAAGGTCAGAATCCTGAGATTAAAATCAGAATTCTGATATTAAAGTCAGAATTCTGATATAAAAATCAGAATTCACAATGCATTCTATTCTGTTAAACATCTTTTATGTTTAAAACTCTAACTTATTTTGGATTTGGATAAAGATTCAGGAATCTAATTGAAATTCTTTATCATGATGGAAACAGTGGTACATGTAATAGGTTTCACATTAACAGAGGTTTTTGCCAGGGATGTGGAAGTCCACCTTTATTATTCAAATTGTTCACAAAGTTGCTATCAGTCTTAATTAAAAACACTTGTATAATTGGAATTGATATATTGGACAGGAAGATAATAAACAATTGGTTGACAATGCAACCCTTTTTTTTTGTAAAATGAACAACAGATTCTTTTAGTACTCCAATGCATTAGTTTATTTTCTGATGCTTCTGGTCTCCAGCTAAATCTAACCGTTCCAAATTAAGAAGCATGGAACTTTCCTAAATGTCTTGGTATAATGAAGCATTTAGTTCCTTTCACTGGAACTAAGGGACTAAGTCCACCTCTTGGAAAACGAACCCCACACCATAATCCCCCTCCACTAAACGTTACAGAATGCAGTCAGTCAAATACCATTCTCCTGGCAACCGCCAAACCCATTTATTTGTAAAACTGTCTGCAGGCCTAAGTACTTGATTTTATTTATTTATTTTTTTACACCTGTGGCCCTGGAGGTAATATAAACACCCAATTCCAATCATTTAGATGGTTAAGCATATACTTTTACAAGAAAAATTGAATAAAAATATATTTTATTGTTTCACAGTGGGACAATTCAGGTATTTCAGTCACAAAGCATTCAGGCAATAAAAGCATATAAGTAAACACATGAATAAATAATATAAATAATAAACATATAGAATCTAATATGGTACAGAGTCAGCTTTCATGAAATTCCATGAAATAGAAAACTGATTACAACAGCTGATTTTTCAGAAAAAGGTCTTGTCTGAATAACAGCAAGGCAAGTTATTGTATGATCCTTTATGGTTAATTTAAAAAAAATGTTTAAATGAAACAATTCGGAGTCATGCTTCCCTTAGTTTAAGTTCGAGTTAAGGTCCAGTTTTGTTGAAATGATGGGAAAAAATTATATGGGGTTTTAAAGCACAGCCCCTTATTTCTAAATCATATACTTGAAATTGACAGAACTGCCATATTAGCTGCAAAACAATCTAACATTTATGCATTAATTATGGATTATAAATCACACAATTTAATTATTTAAAGTATTATTTCAAAAGTAATTGAAATCATATAAGGACTTCCTCTGATATGATGTAGATTACTAATAAAAAATAACTGAATTTCACATGTTCAAACCAAACTAAAACTGACCAATTTTTCAGTATCTCTTGTGATTGTAGCTCATCAATCATCCCAAAATAATGACACAATAACGACAAACTCATTGGGAGAATGTATGTTAGTTTTTCCAGTCTGATTGAGCTTGCTCTTCTTTCCTCCAGAGTCCCATGGAGGGGGCTTCCATGCTCCTCCAGCATAGTGCAACAGATCTTCTGGCTTCAAGAAGTCCGTAGTCTATCAATGTAGTTGTCTTCCGCAATTGTTTAAATTCTATTGGATATATGCCTAGAACACAGAACATAGTTTTTTTCTAATGGGACTTTTACTTTAAGAGTTCCCTTTTCAGATAAACTTTTAGTGCAAGTATCTGGAACATCACTGGACATATGATGAAGCCTAACTGGTGTTATATAGGTAGTTTACTCATGAAACTAATTGGGATTTCAAGCATGTTAAGACTTTGAGTTATAACAATTTGAACTGAAAACAATCTCAAAGGTGTCCAACCTACAGCTTAAGTAAGGTTTTCCTCAGATCACCTGCAGAGGTGACCTGGTATATTGTACCTGTGTCTGAATTCATTTGTCAGTCTAAACACAATGAACCAACCACTCCCTTATCCGGTGTTAAAGAAATATTGTAAAGACTTGATTTTGTTCAAACATTTGCAAGTTTGAATCTTAATCAGTGGAGGAAAAAAAACAACTCAAAAGTCTAATCTGATTTCAGGCTATTTGTAATAAGGGCAAGTGAATTTTTGTCAATTATTTAGATATGAACAATGAAGGACCTACGCTTCCTTACGAAGTTCAGTCTGCTCCGTCTCTTCTTATCTCAGCCACTTTTGAAACTGGCATGCCATTTTCCCCAAATCTCATACATGTAAGCGGAATGTTATATTCTGTACATGTATGTGGTTCAGTGGAGTAAAATAGCTGCAATCGTGTTGTATTGACTTCCTCGTCACTCCTCAAAACTAGGAAAATCTAAAGCCTGATGCATTTAAAGCAATGATGCATTTACTAACATTTCGACTGTTAGTATGCAATCCAAGAGGAAAGAAAGTGGAAATTTCATTGATGAAATAGGGGCTTAAAGAGGTACGCAAATATTACCTATCAAATTATACAAGTTTTTGACTAATTGGAACTCTTAAATGTTAAGATAATCATAATAGTCGTTATTTGCAGCCCTCGTGAACACTCATGTGTCTCTTTAGATTACCATGCTGTGAAAATCCTTTACTGCACACAGGGCAAACAAACGGTTTCTCTCCTGAATGGACTCTCATGTGATTTTGAAGTTGACACTTTTGATTAAATCTGCTTTTGCAGACATCACAACCGAACGGCCTCTCTAGTGTGTGGACTTTCATATGTCGCTCTAACAGGAGTTCGTTCACAAAACGTTTACCACAGTCAGCACAGCTAAATGGCGCGGTGTGTACCTCCATGTGGCTTCTCATATAATTTAGCTTCGAAAAACCTTTTCCACAAACACTGCAAACAAACTGTTTTTCTCCAGTGTGAACACTCATGTGTCTCTTTAAGGTCCCTTGTTGTGAGAACCCTTTACTGCAGATATCACAGATGAACTGTCTCTCTCCTGTGTGAACATGCATGTGTCTCTTAAGATTCTCTTGTAGTGAGAATCCTTTACTACAAATACCACAGACAAACGGTGTCTCTCCTGTGTGAACGCGCATGTGATTTTTTAAATGAATCTGTTGGGAAAATCCTTTGCTGCAAACACTGCAAATAAATGCCTTCTCTCCCGTATGGACGCTCATGTGTCTCTTTAGATCTCCATGTCGGTAAAATCCTTTACTACAAAAACTGCAAATGAATGGTTTCTCTCCTGAGTGAACATGCATGTGAATCTTAAGATTTTGTCGTAATGAAAACCCTTTACTGCAAACGCTACAAATAAAGGGTTTCTCTCCAGTGTGAGAGCACATATGTCGCTTTAGATTTTCTTGTAACGCAAAACCTTTGCTGCAAACGCTACAGACAAATGGTTTCTCCCCGGTGTGAACACACATGTGGGTCTTTAGACCTTTCAGTAGGGAAAATCCTCTCCCACAAATGTTACAAATAAAAGTTTTTTCTGCAGTGTGGATCATTGTATGTTTCTTTAGTGTCTCCTTTCTTTTAAATCTTGTACTACAAACATCACAGGAAAAAGGTTTTTTCCTGTGAATGGACCTTCAAGTGAGTTTTAAGATTAGTCTTTGCATGGAACCTTCTACCACAATCATCACATGCAAATGGTCTCTCTCCAGTGTGGAGTCTCATATGTATCTGAAGGCAATGCTTTTCTTTAAATCCTTTCCCACAAAGATCACAGCTATGTTCTCTTATTCCAGTGTGAATCATCATGTGTAATTTCACATGAGTCTTTGTTTTGAATCTTTTTCCACACACATTGCAACCAAACGGCCTTTCCCCTGAGTACAGTCTTATCGGAGCGGTGAGTTTGGAAGACAGTTTAGTTCTTTTACCCCTTTTGTGAACAGTTATTTTACTTTTTTGGAGAGGGCACAATGAATCAGAGTTCCTATCCGAGTCTTGTCCATTAGGTTGTGTTTCCATCTGTTCGGCTGAACTCCTCGTTGGATCATCTGTCTCTCTGCAGTCTTCAAATTTGATCCGTTCTGAAAACTGAGGTTTTTCCTCTTCCTCAATTTTAACAATAAGCTGCTCAACCTCCTGATCAATGCACAGTTCCTCCTCTTCCTCCTTTATGTGGGGGGGCACTGGGTGCTGCTGGTCCAAAATGGATCTGCATTCATGAGGAAACTCCTCTTTGATCACCAACATCTCATTGTCTGCCAATAATAAACACACAAACATTAATCACAATGCAGTAATAATATTTAAAATCATGTACATATCAAAAATGTTTCTATTTTCTCCTTTTAATCCAAGAGGCCGAAATATTTGTGAATAGTATAGAGAGATGTCTTTAAGAATGCATATTTTAAATTTTTTTTAAATGGCCAAATCACCCAAATCCCATTGAAATATTTTTTTTTTTTAAACGTACTTGCTTTTTGTTCACTTCTTGCATGTTGATATTCTTTTTTTGTAAGCAGAGCCTCTAATTCAGTTATGAGCTTATGCTTTCAGATTGTCCACCTAATTGTGAGTCCATTTTATTTCTGCCATTTTGAACGTGGCAAGCCTTAAAGTGTAATTAAATGAAGTCGAGGTGTTGTACTTACACAGTTCTGTATTTGGGGGGGGGCGTTGGTTGTGCTTAATCAGTCATTTATGTTTTTAGGTCTTGCCTTTTAAGAACATGAGTAGGGCTGCAATGATTAGTCAACATAACTATGTGGTTTCAAAATATTGTGATGAAAACTTTCATGCATTGAAGCATTGCATAGAAATATTTTAAAATTGCTGCATGTTAATATTTCACTGTCTGTGTTGCAGTTTAAATGACTTACTGTTCACCAAGAATGCTGCGGAACCTAGCTTTTTTTTTTTTTTTTTTTTTTTACTTTATTTTTATAGATTTTTTCCAGGTATACAACAAAAACATGACAATGATTAATGTCCTTTAGTGAATCCTTTAGCATTTGTCACAAAAAAACAAAAAAAAGCATTAGACAAACAATAAATACTATTATATAAAAATAATTTGTTCATTTACACTTAAGACATACTGAAAGTAAAAAAAAAAAAAAAACACACTTTATGGAGTTTCAACCAGTCAATTAGGAGTGTCCACACCTTTATTCATAACAAATGAGATAAAGTAGAACAAAATAAAGAGGGAGGGATAGGGGTTGTTTATGGCTTCAGTTGTTCTAAAATGGGTTTCCAAATTTTGTAATATTTTGAGGACAGTTTATTAAATCAAATCTAATTTTTTCTATGTGCAAGATTCCTGTAAATTCCTTGATCCAAGATTCAAAATTAGGTGGTCTGTCAGCCTTCCACTGCTTTAATAAGCATCTTTTGGCAATCATCATGCCATAGGAGACCACTGTTGTTACATCACGACCCAATTTGTTAAGAGTGTCCGAGACACCAAAGAGGGCTGTTTCTGGATCGGGTTTTATGTGAACTTTAAGGGCGCGAGAGTACCATTCAAATATTGAGGTCCAGAAACTTAGAATATTTGGACAAAGCCAAAATTGATGTGCTAATGTGCTGTCCCATATTTTACATCTGTCACAGAGAGGCGATGTTTGTGTGAAAATTTTGTTTAACCTTGTTTTTGAGTAATGTAACCTATGAACTACTTTACATTGTATTGCTTGCAATCTTGAGTTCACTGAGCAATAATGTATGTCACCCAGTGCTCTGCTCCATGCATCGTCTTTGATTGTAATATTGAGATCCTCCTCCCACTTTTGCTTTATATTTAACGTTGAACATTCAGACTTGCAGAACCTAGCTTTGCCCTAAAAAATACTTATTTAGAACCCACATAACTTTGGCTATATATTAAGAGATGATGATATTATCTTGCTTTTTTACAGGGTTTAATCCCATTTCCTTTAGATGTGCCTAAATTATTTGCAGCACACACTCAACAAGAGGTGCAAGAATTGAAGTATGTAATGTAGCAGAAATCAAGACTCATTAATCAGCCACTAATTTCTTTCTATTTTCTGTCATTTCAATATTCACTCAATTCTGTGTAAACTTAACTGAATATCCGCACCAAATAAAATGGCTGGTAAGTGTAAATAATACAACTAAACAGAAAAAGCAGTCATTCTCATTGGTTTATCAGTCTTTTCCATTTTCTTGATCCAACATTAAACAAACATAATACAGTTCAAAGCATAACTCATCGAACCCTCAAGAAGACACACTACATTACGAGCTGATAATAACAAACATGCTACACCTGTATAATTTTGTGGTCCAAAGCTACCAAAATTTTAGACTTCTTCCAGACGAGCTTTTTAACAACTGGAATAATCCCAGCTTACCTGAGGGCTGTGCATTAGGAATGGAACCAGCATGAACCAGTTAAAAAAACGAATTGACAACATGTGACCAGGGACACATTTATAAGTTTTTAAGGATATTAATTTAAAACGTGACCTGTATACCTTAATCTGTTAATGTCTGGCAGCTAATTTGCATTTAAATGGTAGATTAATAAAGATTTTTTTATAGATATTTGTGGATCTTTTGCATATATTGGTTTTGCTTTGGTTTTAATAAATGGAAACTGTAGCCTTTAATTTATATACCTGACACTTGTTGGGGTTGCTGTTAACCCTTTATAGTGCACTCAGTAAAATACTTTAAAAATCCAAATTTCAAGCCAATAGTGTTATTGGAATAGAAGAACTTATTACCTTCGTAACATTCAATAAATGTGGATATTTTGATGGAAAAAAATTAATGTCAATGTAGTAACAAGAAACGCCAAGTTGCCTGAATATATTAAGAAAAATAACAAAATTGCTTCTATAGGCAAGGCAAGGCAAATTTATTTGTATAGCTCAATTCAGTACAAAGACAATGCAAAGTGCTTTACATGATTAATATATAGGATAATAAAACAGAATCAAAGCAAGTAGGGAAAAAAAAATAAAAAATGCAGAAACAAGAAAGAACATTAAAAACAGTTGCACTGGAGAAAATAAAAAAGTTGAACTAATGATGTTTCAGTTGAACTGTTTAACTAGAACAGTTGAAGGCAATCCTAAACAAATGTGTTTTTAGTCTTGATTTAAAGGAACTCAGTTTTTCTGGACTTTTACATTTTTCTTGAAGTTTGTTCCAGATAAGAGGATTATAGGAACTAAATGCTGCTTCTCCATGTTTAATTCTGGTTCTAGGTAATTTCTATAATAAATTCATAAAAAACACAGAGTGAAAAAAAAATAAAAAATTTTGGGGGGTTCAACAGAACCTTACCGGAATTAATGCTGATACTGACACATTTTTTAGTTTATAAACCCAAACATAAATGTTAACTAGGCTTAATAACTGTTTGACTTACTTTGTAACTTTTCAATTAGCTTTTTACCTTTTCTTTTGACTTGTTAACCTCTTTTTTCAACTTAATTTACAGTAGGTAATATATCATTCAAGGGCCCATTTGTCAAATACCAAAATATGATGTACATCCACGTAGAAGTATGTTTGCTGAATGGCTGGGTATAGATCTTATGCTTCTAGACCTCACTGAGGGACTGGTCTGGATGAAAGGCTCATAGTGTAACTCAGACCTATCTTCCTCACTCTGCTACTCTTATTCCAGTTTACTGATGGTTACTATGTGCTGTGTTCAATGTATCCCGATAAAGACAGACATTCCTGAAATGTTAGTCTACATCTACTCTGCTAAATCTGGATAAGTAACCACACCCCCTTCCTCTATATGCTCATGTTATTATTTAGGGTTTTTGTGTTTTTCTACCCAGCTGTCATTAGAGTCTGATCAAGATCACAAAAACACTCAAATTAGTTTTTACTTACAGAGATCTTTGCCATCTTGTTTCTGCTCCAGTGTTGATGCGGATGCTGCAGATGGCAAGCTGAGCACTTCTACTTCAGCCTCCATTATTTCAGACATCCTCAGCCCACTAGGGATTCTCCTTCCCAGCTTTCATATGGTCCAATAAAACAAAGTTTTAGTCATATGCTCCCATATGAAAGGGGAATCGGACCCATATCAACATCTGATCGAATGCTGTGTAATAATAGATTATCTGAGTTCAGAGTAGCTAACATAAAATCTCTATTAGCTGTTTGAGCTCCACGGTGGCTAACGGTCCGATCTCTTTGCCGATGGAGGATATTTAAAATCTATAGCGGAAAACTCCACTACAGGTGATCCAGGAGGCTCCTCCCTCATGGCAGCTTTTTAGGTCATGTCATGTGTCTAAAACGCAAACTGCAGAAACTTCAAGACGTTTCTTCATTACTTAGCGCGTCATGCTAGCGCTGCTACATCCGGTTTACTTCCTCCTCACTGACCAATCAATGACAAGTTCCGAATCAGGAAAAAACGTCATTACCTTTACAGTTTTCAGAATAAAAGCTCCTAAAAAGTATTTTTAATTAAAATTGATTACTTTTTTTATCACAACATCCGTTTTAAAGTTTCACATTTAATTTAGTTAATTGAGAAGTGTAATCAAAAGACAAGCTTGAATAAGTACAGTTTAGGCAACGGAATATGAAGTTTTCTAGTTACCTAAACTGAACTTTTTCAAGCTTGACAATGATCTGGATGACTGAGAATCTTCACAGATATAAGACCAACTAACAAAAGAATCAAATATAGTTCAAAAACAGCTTTAAAAAATTTTTATTACAGAGATTTTGTTAATATTTCACAATATTAATATTTAGTACAACATATTTCTATATCGGTAACACACATTAAACAAGCAAAGAGCTTAGTGGAAAATGTTTATGCACTTAGCAGAAAGCATCATAAACTCTGGTTGAAATGGCTGTAATTCAAATATTTCAAAGCTTCTTTACAAAATAATACAGTTACATGTAACATTGCTAGTTTTTTGAAAACTGAAAAGATTAAAAGCACAGCGGATTATTTTATATAATAAAAAATGTATAGAGGAATGTCCTACTGCTTAACTTTTACTATTTAAAGATACCTGTAAAAGAGAATTCATGGAAAAAAACTCATCTTGCATCATCATGCAAAGTAAAACATCCGCTTTGGGGGAAATTTAAAATTCAAAAGTTCTAAATCTGTCAGTTGCAAGATAAAACATGGCAGATGAAACAGCTTAAATGAATAGTACACCCAAAACATGATTAGCCTTCATTTTCTACTCCCCCCCGATGCTGAACAACACTCTGGAGTACATTTTTTATATCTCAAATGCATCTGGAGATCTGGGAGGCTTCTTGCTGTCTGCTGACATTCAAATAATGGAGGTCTATGGTGACCGAGACAGAAAGGTCCATAAAAGTCCACAAAAAACGTGTCAATATTCCTCCATACTGCTCGTCCAATGTATTCCAAGTGTCCTGAGTGGGTAGCATCCAGAATTTACTCGAAACAAAGTCATTTAGAATGTTTTTAGAGCATAAACAGTAGTGTATAGGATTTCCTGAAAGCGCGCACATACGCGTTCACGACGCTACGGAAGCCGGCAGACCAAACCAGCGCATTCAGCTCGGCAAAGAACTCATGCTCTTCCTCAACACTGAAGTCCTCAGACATTTTTCTTTCGTTGTTTCTTTCTTTGCACAGGTAAACAGCACATTTCTTCTTCTACGCTTGCATTATTGGCAGAGCAGACGCTGAATGCGCACTTTCATCTGGTTTGGTCTGCCGGCTTCCGTAACGTCGTGAGCGCGCATGTGCGTGCTTTCAGGAAATCCTATACACTACTGTTTATGCTCTAAAAACATTCTAAATTACTTCGTTTCGAGTAAATTCTGGATGCTACCCACTCAGGACACTTGGAATACATTGGACGAGCAGTATGGAGGAATATTGACACGTTTTTTGTGGACTTTTATGGACCTTTCTGTCTCGGTCACCATAGACCTCCATTATTCGAATGTCAGCAGACAGCAAGAAGCCTCCCAGATCTCCAGATGCATTTGAGATATCAAAAAAGTACTCCAGAGTGTTGTACAGCATGGGGGTGAGTAGAAAATGAAGGCTAATCATGTTTTGGGTGTACTATTCCTTTAATCTGTTTTACAAGGGTGCCTCCCAGGCCCAGGACACGCCGGAGGGAGTCTCTGAGCTGGCCTGGTGTCGCCTTCAGGTCCCCCCAGAGCAGCTGGAGGAGGCGTGTGCATTGGGAAGTCTGGGCATCTCTGCTTAGACTGCTGCCTCTGCGACCTGGCCCCAGATAAAGCGGAAGAAAATGGCTGGATGGATGGAAACAGCCAGTTTGCCCCATTTGGAATCACACAGAGGGTATGTAGCAGGCAGGGCAGACTTGGGCATAAAAATACAATAAAACGTGTCAATCAACAGAATACCATAGCCATAATAGGAGTTTAGAGAGAAAACAGATAAAGCAAAATAAAGACCCTCTTTGTGCCTTTTTGCTGCATTTTCCTTTTCATCAAACAGAACCACTTAACTATGGGTATATATATCAAGAGGTGTCAATAGTAGTGCATACTTTGAGAATCTGCTCACCGTTTGTGTAGCAGAAGCATATCTAGAGGCACTGCAATAAGTGTGACATGGAAAAAAATTGCATCAGAGAATAAAAAGTTGGACACAACCAGCGAGATCTAGGCTCACAACCATTAAGCTTTTTAAGCAGAACCCCTCTAAAAATTTTACACATTGGCTTTTAACTCAACTGAGGCATGATAGTGTTTTCTTTTACCCTCTTTTATAAGGAAATATGTTTTACAGCTCCGTTGTATTTTTTTTTTGCTTTTTATTCTACTTACGTTGTTGTATGCTTCGCTTTATTAACCAACTATAACATTTTTTGGTAAAAAAAAAAAAAAAAAGAACAGCAAAAACACCAACGGCAGTTAATTTTCACATACATGATATTGCGGTTTGCTTTTGCCCTTAAATGTGTTCAGAGCTTTGAGAGATTTCATTTTAACTGGTTTGGTATTGGAGATCTGTTGCCTTTTAAAAAATCAACATTTCTGAAAGATTTTCTGCATCGAGCTGGACATTTCTGAATCGTACATTAAGCAATGTCAGGAGCAATGCCAATAAAGATTTTAAAGCTAATGCCACAAATGAATCATTCAACAAATATTCAGAACTTTTGCTTTATCTTTAATTTTTCCAGTGGTGCTACCTGATTGGCTTTTAGCAAAGTACTTGTAAAGCTTGTTTGTAAAAAGAGTTCAAACCATATATGGTGGACTGATTCACATGAAACAGATTAGGTTCAACAAAAACTAGGCTGTATTAATTGACAAGTGATATAGACATATATATTCAAATTAGTCCTTATAGTCTTAGAATTGTTTTCTTTATATGACCTTTACATAAACGATTGAATCACCCCACAGAGAAAACTCTACCCCTTAATTTAAATGGGAGAAAAATAAATGAAAACAGCCTGAAAGAAAAACTGAACAAAAAAATAAAATAAAGCCCACGAAATATTTTAAATTACTTCAATAAATAAGAGTTTCTCAAAATAAAAAAATATATATATTTCGATATAAGTGTATCTGAAAATAAATCTTGATTAAATTTGAGGTAAGTAAACTGAAAACAAAATATTGTAACATACACATTGTTTCATGAGGATATTTATTTATTTGCTGGAATATTCATTGACACTGGTATTGATTTATAACATTTATAATGAAATGGTTCTCCATAATAAATGGCTACTGCAACGTTTAAAATGTGTGAACTTAATGTAGGTATTTAACTGCACAAGCCTGCCTGTAAGTGCGGCAAGCCTCACTAGTTTAGCCCCTTAAAGCTCTTTCGAACGCGACACTTTCTTCTTGAAAAAAGGAGGTCTTGAATCCGACGGTATTTTTTAGGTCTTTACTGAATTTAAAAGAAATAAAATAACAAGCAGATTCAAAACAAATAAAGTGACGGTCAAAAGACTGTGTTTCTCCTAAGGTGCCAAACTTCTATAAAGAGCAAGTCCTTTTTTCTTTCATAAACCAATTATTCGAAAACCAATCAAAAGGCACCACGTCATAAGCTTAACAACGATTCAATTATAGATGCTTATCAATTCCAAAAATGTATATATGGCTCCTACATTTTCCGGCTCCTAATTGACTATGTATTAGCATATCAATTACAAACTCAACTTAAACTGGAGCCATAGATATTCAAACAACTTAACAAAAACTTTTGTTTTAACTTGGTTACAAAACAATCTACTAAAAAGTCCTCTATTGTTTCATTCTCCTTGCAATAAGCACAATTTTGTAATCGGCCTTTGGATGATGCTCGTCTTCGTCTTGACTTCTGCACTCCGGACTGTCCCTTTGGAGTCTGGCATGACGTTGACGATTCTCCCCAACATCCAAGAATTTCTTGGAGATGATGAATCAGCAACTAGGACGACATCCCCGACCTTGAAGTTTCTTCTTAGGTCAAGCCATTTTTGTCGCTCCTGCAGTAGAGGCAGGTACTCCTGTGACCATCTTCGCCAGAACAGATCTGCCATATACTGGACTTGTCTCCATCGACGGCGAGAATAGATATCCTCCTTGATAAACACACCAGGAGAAAGGGTAGGCTGTCCCTTCAGCAGAAGCAGATGGTTCGGCGTAAGAGGCTCAAGATCATTAGGATCGTCTGTGTTCATAGTTAACGGTCTTCCATTAATGATGCTCTCGACTTCACATAAAAGAGTCTGCAGTCCTTCATCATCCAGTATCTGTTGCTTAACAACGGAACTTATGACTTTTCTAACAGTGCGTATCTGGCGTTCCCAGACTCCTCCATGATGAGAAGCAGCAGGTGAATTGAAAATCCACTGTACTCCCTTTTGCATCATGGCGTCATTAATGCGAGAGTGGTCCAGCTCTTTCAAAGCCTCCCTTAACTCTCTCTCTGCTCCAACAAAATTTGTGCCATTGTCAGAACGAATGATGGAAACTTGTCCTCTTCTGCTTTGAAAACGACGCAGAGCGTTTATACATGAATCTGTATCAAGAGACTGAGCAACTTCAATATGCACAGCTCTGACAGTTAGACATGTGAAAAGCACTCCGTAACGTTTGACCTTGACACGCCCTCTTTTGACCTCAAAAGGACCAAAATAATCCACACCTGTGTTGGTAAAAGGTGGTTTATCATGAAGCAGGCGGTCATGTGGCAGATCTGCCATTTTCTGTTGCCCTGGTCTTGCATGCAGTCTCCTACAGAGATTGCACTCTGAGATTACCTTTCTAACAGCTGCATTGGCTGCTGTTATCCAATATTTTTGTCGCATTCTGGCCAGAACATAATTTCTGCCACCATGTCCTGTCACTTGGTGGATATGATGCAGAATGAGGTTGGCTA